ATGTGATGGATGAGCCTGCAAATCACTGCACATTTTCTTAAATTGAAGCTTTTACAATATTTCGCGGCGCACAGTTTGGGAATCATTGGCTCAAAGTGATGAAGGACTGGTGGTTGAATTTTCCCAAAATGATATGAGAAAACCTTACGTTTCCAGCGAATGTAACGCTCAAAGGAAGCGTAAGGTTTACTCATCATTATGGGCAAATTCAACCACCAGTCCTTCATCACCTTAAACGAAACGGAGAGAACAAATCTCATTAATTCTAACTTGTTCTTTCTCCTCTATTCATCATTCTCCAGCTCAGCCTGCATCGTATTAACTCCCAGCCTGGCACTAATGACGACTTGCTGGTTCTCAACTTCCGTCGCGGTTTGACCACTTCCTTTTCCGCTGGTTCACTAGGGCACACTTCTACAGCCGATAATCCACTGACCATCATTCCTCATGCCCCGATGCCCGTGATGTCAGCTTCTCGTATTCTCATTCTAGCAGGACTTGGTGGTCGCGAATTGGTCACTAGTGAAATGGTCATTCGCCTTGCCAGACATCTCGTTGCAGGTAGGGCTACTTTTTGCTAACCTACTTGTTCTTACTTTTCCTGTTCATCTGCTTTTTAATGTATTTATCTTCAATAAGTGATGCATTCGAGCTGCAGTTTTGCCCTCGACTGGTTACCGTTTGGGGTCCTGAGGTCGAATCTGCGCTCCATTCTTTCTTGGATGCGAATACCTTTTGAGAAGCAAGTCTATGTGAAATAAAATGGAAGTGCAAGGCCTACTCTTGGGATTGTAGGAAAATGTTCTTCATCCGCTTGTTACTACCCCATCTAACCCCATGCCAGTTAGTCACGGGGTAGATGCTACATTCAAGGCAAACCAGGCCCCTCCAAACACACGTTTTATACATTTAAATACCAAAATATTGTCGCCTCTTTTCTGTTTGCAGTCTCCTTTCGCTGTATGGAAGGGGTCTGACCACGTTATCGAGACTTGTTCGATTAGTCAGGACGACCTAATTGGACGCACCTTATTCTAAGTCTTCTGCTTTAGTAGTTATGATAATTCACAGCGTTGAAGCGTGGAATTGCTAATCCGACTCGGACCTCCCCATCTGAATATCCCTCATGGCACCGAAGATTCGTTTATCATCTTCCCTGGTTTACTGATTTCACTCGGTTCCATGTCCCAATATGCGTTTTTCTCCAGGCCCTATCCCTCGTGCTCTGTTACAAGCCTTTGGTACCAAGTATTATGTGGCCTCACAGAGCAGAAGTTCTCAGCTCTGATTCACATGCTTGCAGATATCAGCCATTGTCTTTACGAATCATCTTCTTTATTGAGCCAGTGTACCCTAAGCAAACTATGTCAGTTTATCTCTGCTCTCCTGCTGCATCTCGAGTAGATTTCTCGTCGAGTTGGCTCTGATCTATTAACCATAGTGCCGAATTGCTGTCACGATTGGGATTATCCGTCTCCCTATTCCTGCGATAATAGGCCCCCAAAGTTTTAGTTATTTCCTCACCCTACGAGGCCCTTCTTTCTTCCAATTCAACTCGTGTCCACTCCGTCCAATATGTTCCGCTATTTCCGACCTTTTGAAATCCATTTCCCTTAATTCATATGCTGATTTTTCTCCGTATTTCGCCCATTTATGGTTTACACTCTTCAAAATATCGTTCTATTTTTCTTTTCCACGCGACCAAAGTGTCAAGTAGTCATCCAGTTACTGCATAAGCACACTTGATTACAGCGACGAGGTCTTGGAATCCTCTTCTAATTTGTTCATGTACATGTTCGCCAAAGGAGGTGTAAGCTGTAATCCCATTCAAAGTCCGAATATTTGTTCATAGAAGCTGCTGTTTGATGTGAAGCAGGTAGTCCTTATTGTCGAGTTTATCAGTCGCATTTATCACTCCCTCCTGATCCCCTATGCTTCCAAAGTATCCTCTTCTCCGTTCAAGCTATCCAGAAGCGCCGTCAGCGAATTTTCTTAAGAGATGTATGTATGCATGGATTGTACATCAAAACCTACCAATAATTCAGTTTCTTCCAGTACTCTGCTTCGATTTTTTGAGAAAATGCATATCAATATTTCAATATGTTTGATATCCTGTCGTTTAATTTCTTGGGTTTCAAACCTCTGAACTTGGACAATTTGTGTGTTGCTCCATACGTATTGTTAGCTATCAGCTTTAGTGGTTCCCCTTCTTTGTGTATCTTCGTTAATCCATAGATTGTTGCTGGTCATGCATCCTTTCTTATTAGTCAATTTAGCATACATCAGTTCATTTCTTCGTAGGGTCTTGCATATCTTTATTTATCTGCTCCCGTTTGTTGGTGCTTTATGTATCAATATTCTTGGGATTATTTCAATCCCCATTTCCCGGTTTGTCTTCTCATGGAATTTTCAGGTAGATATTGATGACCTCCACAAGAATGCTAGCTATACCATTTCCTTCATTTTCAGCCCTTTCTCCAGGATCGTAGGGGTCTCGAGATTAATAGGAAGCAAAGATAAACTCACCACTTTATCCCGATCGTCGTAATGACTAGTACGTATTGTCACTTGGAGAACCACAGCAACTGGGCGCGTTGGCTCTAACTTATGCTGCATACACGAAGAAAATGCGGGTTTCGAAGAAGTTCCTGAGCTAAGATTGCTGTGAAAGCTTTCATTCCCTATGGAAGTACACGATGAAGAGATTTGTAGGTCAATCTCACCAGAAGCGCCGGCTGATTTGCGTTGTACTGCAGCCGTTTGGCAGTGCTGTGGTCAACCTTATATTGTTAATGGATGCCGACCTATTCAACATAGACTAGTAGATAAGTTGATACATGATGTCCCTCATGTGGTATGATGAACAAAAACTCAACCCGTTTTCACTGGAAACAAGAGGGAAAATGTCTTGTGGACTGTGTCAACCTGATCGTTTTATTAAAACCAAACAGCTAGAATACAACGGAAATCAGCCTTCGTCTTCTGTTGATATCGACCTAAAAATCTTTTCATATCCTCCTTTATACGAAATGAAATTTTCACAATAATCACATGAAGACCAAGATGGTGTGGCCTTTTGTCTAGTAGCAGTCTCCTCTGTATTTGGTTGGTTTGATCTCGTTTTCGCAACATTTTCGGGGAATAGGGTGACCTTGTGGAACGTACCCAGTCCTGTGTCCTCTGCCATGATATTCGCTATTTCCAGCATCGGACCATTGGCTTAGTGCATTCCCAGACGTTTCACCGGCATCGTCAATGAGAGGCGTCATCCTTGGCCACAACGCTCGAATAGAAAATTGGCCTCTACTTGTCGCTTTTATAAATTGCTATTATTCTACTAGAAAAGTTTGCGAATGTACCAGGTCAACAGCCTGATGCTGGAAATCATCATGAATACTCCCTCAAAGGTCACAGGACTGGGAACGTTCCACAAGGTCTCTCTGTCGCTCTGACCAAGTTGCGAAAACGAGATGACATCAACACTTTCCACAATAATGTTATCTCAGTAGATTAATCGAAATTTGCTTTTTCTTCGTATATATATGAAGTTTACAAATTAAAAGCTTGAATTTTGCTCAAAACACAGTTTAATTAAAGACCCAATACCCATGGTGAATCATATTTACTAGAATATTTTCATTATATTTTAGACATTTAAAAGTCATTATACTTGATCGACCAATCCCTGACTATTTTAGGTGCTTATCTTGAGGCCAACTCGATCACTGCTATTTTGTCGCGTCTTCAGCTTGTTTTAGTGCCGTTCTCGCACCCATTCGCTCTCTCCGCCACTCTGAGGACTCTAGCCTTTGAATGGCTGAAACCTGGCTCAGAAGCCTCTGACATCTGCGGCCCCATGTCCCGACGACATTCGCAGATTGGACCAGATCCTGACAGTCTTGTCTACCAGTTTTCAGATGAGGTAAACCGCAACTCCATTCCATATTACGTTTTCTCATGTCAAACTGCTTAATCATACTTGATATTTTTGCATTTAAAATTCTACCGAAATAAAAGTTACGTTTTTACGAATCTTTTGGCTTATAGTTGTTGAGCTCACTTACATTTATTTGTTAGAAGATTCTAAGGTTGATCCCACTCAAAGGCTGCAGTGGATTCCTCTTGACCTGCTGTCGATTGGCTCTACTTGAACATTCTTTTCGACGCTGTTTCCAAGGCAATCTAGTTCGATTCCAGTAAAAATAGGCTAATGATCCGTCTGTCAATTGACGAACATCATTAGAGCAGGCTATCATTCAACCATAGTCAAGCGAATGAGTTTTCTTTACTCCTAAGGGTGCTAACCTGGTCTGGTGATGTCCGTGATGCAATGGAGGAAACTTGGCTCGTCTTCATTGTGATCGAAAGCGACTGCTTCAGAGAAAGCGTATGCAGAAATTTCCCAGTAACCTGTGACATGACTTTCCATTTCAAAGGAAAAGTGGATTTGAGGGAATGCGTGAACTGGTTTTACCGGAAACCGAAGAGGATTGCCGCGGAGTCAAGTGAAGACTGCTGGATTTTGCAAAGAAGTCGCCGGCCCACCGTCCTGCGAACCCGATAAGCCTGAGCTAAGTCTTCGTCTGTCGCTTCATGACAGGCATCGTCAGAGCAAGAATCAATACCTTACAAAATAGTCCAAATATATACTTTATTTTCCTTTTTAATAATTAACTCACTAAGGAATTCTTCGCAACCCAGCTTTGCTTCATCCTTTTAGGTAAACTTAACCAATCGCTAGACAAAAGGAATACACTTGTGAGATCGAACTTATAATCTTTTCACCGCACTTTTTATAGAAATAGAAGTGAGCTCAGCACTACATTATTACAGCTTTTCTTATTCCTTAAGATTGCCTTACACAAGGAATTATAGTGGGAAGCCATAATATCTAAAAATGATTTAAAAAGATTTCATTTAAAATATGAAACTGCTCCGAGCTCATTTGGAGACCCTTACCTCCAGTGCCAAGCCTTTGCAGCTACGACCTATGAATAAAAATAATCTAGATAAGATGTATTCACCCGATTTAGTTAAGGGGGTCACCAAATAGTGGTTGAATTTCGACCTCACACATTCCGGCGGGACTCGAACCATGACAGTACAGCGTATTACCTCGAAACGTTAATCAATACACTACATTGCCTCGAGTGACCTTGCGTCATGGGGAAGGTGTAGTTAACGTGTCGAGATTATGCACTGCATTGCCATGGTTCGAGTCCCGCTGAAATGTGCTGTAAGACCTGGGCGAACCCGAAACTATCGTCCACTTCAGCTTTTTGTGAGGCAAGGCTAAAGGAAATGTAATGATGTGAGAAAGCCAAACTAGGAGTTCTTAAATCTTCTTATGCGACTTAGGCTGGCTAGGCACTTATTCATTAATTGTTGAAAGCTATTTGGATACAAAATAAATGGGGAAAGCCTGACTAGCGTGAAATCTTGTTTTGATTTGTCATCCCATTTGAACATCGACGTTGCAAAATCACTCTATGAATAAGTTTGAATAGGATATTATTGTTTGGCTGCTCTACATCAACTTCACCCATTAGCCTTTTCGAACAAAATAAAATTTAGGCTAACATCAATCTGCTAAGCGATTATTCGAAACCCACCTTATTTTCATATATGAAATTACAAGAACTAAGTATGCTTGCAGTTAGCGAAAATTTTCTGAATAATGCTGTCTTGCTTCGACAATTTTTATCAAATTACAGATTTGTCGACTTGCAATCTAGTGCTTATTAACAATGCTTTTATTTGAGCTATTTGAATTAACTTTCGTTGTCTCTATGTGAACCACTCTTTTTTATTTTCCTTAGTCAACATCTCCTGCCGTGCGATCCTTGAAGTTGTTGAAAAAGCGTTTGCAACCACATCTGGTTATCATTCTGGAAACAGGCTTAGGTGATGAACTTGATCTTTCAGAACCAAATCGCACCTCTGCTGGGCTTCATTGTCCAACCTCTTTTCGGACCGGTTTATCGACAAGGCTATTTAAATTTTCAGTTCCTGCAGGCTCTGCAATGAGCATCCAATCTAGATGTCTTATGCAAAACTTGGGTGAGATTTTCGAACGCGAATATCTTCGAGATGGATACCGCTCGTGCGACTTTTCTTACGGTAAACTTACATTTGTATGGCAAATTCCCTTTCCAAATTAAATTACTCTGACTTAGACAACTGCCAAATCTGATCGTCCAATATACTTTGTTAGTATGGTTTCTTAAATAAAAACATTACTCATTTTACGTCATTTAAGGTGATCTGAGATTGATAATTGATTTACATAAATGAAATGCAATTGATTTTTATTCAGTCCTACTTCGTAGAAGGCTTTCTAATTCGACCATTTAATTCTGACTCATGTTTCATCGCCGAAGCTCCAAGCTCCAATTGTTAATAACAATTAAGGAGTTTTCATTTTCTCATTTATTCGGAAATCATGATGAAACGGTAATGGAGTTCAGGCCTCTTAAGCCATGCAACCTCCTGACTGATCAAACCAAGTGTAACCGGGTTTCGATCATTTTTCTGAGATCATGTTTTTGTGTAGCTAAAAAAAGGAGATCCAGTTCTCACATTATTTGCTCATTAGTTAGACATCAGTCGTGCTTTTCGAACTGCGCAATCGCTATCCAAAATTAGTAATGCATTCTATGATAATAGCAAATACAACTGTGTTTCATGATAATCCTAACAGAGAAATTTGATATGGGAAAGAACTGGGCTTATTTGAAATTTTTCTTATTGCTTATAGTTTTGAGACTACCAGTAAGTCAGTGTAATGAGATGTATTCACCCTATTTCGTTTAAGGTGATGAAGGACTGGTAGTTGAATTTTCCCATAATGCTATGAGTAGAGCTGACGTTTCCATTGAATTTCAAAGAGCCTTGCTTTCCCAAAACCAATTAGAAGTGGACTGCTGGTTCGACCTCGTTTCGGTCTTGTCAACACCCCTAAGCTCACAGTGAAGCGTTTGAGCTTGACACGTTAACCTCTCGTCACATTGCCGCAATGCCCTTGGGTCACAGGACAGATGTGAATTTCAAGAAGGACCACGCCTTTTCCCATATCACATTCTTTGGTGGTATTGTCGATAAAGCAAACGTATTTTTACTATGACAATCTACTACACTACTTATTTTTCATATAAGTAAGCAATGCTGTGTGCTATTCAGTGGAAACGTCAGCTCAACTCATATCATTGTAGGAAAATTTTACTACCAGTCCTTCATCACCTTAAACGAAATAGGGTGAATACATCTTACCTTACTTGAAATTGACTTCTGTCCTGTAACCAAAGGGCACTCGTAAAAGTCTGGCATAGTCTTTAGCGTGTCGAGACTGTACGTTGCACTATTACAACCTGAGTTTGAGTCCCGTGGGCGTTCCGATGAAACTGAGACGAGGCCGAGACTGCAGTCGATTCCAGGCTGAATAAGAGTACACTTTGGAATGCAAATCTATATTAAATCTAATAAAAACAGGAAGCTTATTCATATGATTGTGGGAAAATTCAACTACCAGTCGTTCATAATCTTAAACGAAGTAGAGTAAATGCGGCTCCTTTTACTCGGCGTTATGATTAATGGTCTCAACGGATAAGGAAAGCAATTTCTCCAATATAACTCTGGAGGATATCGTTTAACTTTTATTGGAAAGTGGATTGCATTTTGTTCTTCTAAATGAAGTAAATCATTCTCTGAATATACTTGTTGAGTTAATTAGCGTATATTATAGATTGCCGAAAGAGGTGAAGAATAGTATTGGGTTGGAAGTGATTCTTCATTTTTACAAAATAATCAAGCCAAAGCAATCTTGTGTTTGGAATAAGTTTTCTGGATATTTAAATCGTAATAGCCTAATTTTTATGATAGCCGACAAAGGTGGAGCAATGGATAGTCCAAGTTATTTAGAGAAAATGCTAGTCCATTTGAATGGCACTGACACGTACTGAGAGATCCAATAGAAGGTCTTAATACTAGGCTAAAGGATGTCCTCAAGATATGCGTTAATAAGAGTTAAATGGAGAAGTAGAAAATGAATTGCCTACTCCAGAGAGATGTAAGGGTCCCCACGGTTTACGGTACTCCTAAGGTTCAAAAGAGGATGTCCCTCTTAGATTTATAGTAAATAGCAAAGGTTTCAGAATGCATAAAATCACACGTTTTTCATCCATACCACTATGAAAGCCTGCGGATTTTTAGCTATATTCGGTTTGTGAAATTGTTAAGGGTACCTGCATTTCGTATGAAAGTGAATGAAGAAGAGATTCGTTGGTCGATTTCCCCACATGAGAACGGATAAATCTCGTTGTACTGCAGCCGCTTGGCTTTTATACGATATTCATGTTGATGCAGTCCACGAGACTTCCTCCCTCGTTTCGGGTGAAAACGTGCTGAGATTTCGTCCATCATTCGATGGACATCGTCAGAGCTGGGTGTTATTCTTGTAAGGGTCTCACGTTAACATTAGACCAAGAACAATATCCGGCTCTATCTTACTTATTATATACACTCTTTCATACTAATTCTGTTATTTTTGCTCAATTTTATGCGTGTGTGTGTTAGCGTCTATATGAAATCCGGTTTCTAAATCAGACTTCTCAAAGGTTTAATCTCAGGTTCTGGTCCTGAAGACCTAATGACTCAAGAAAAATCCTTGACCGAGACTGCGTTGGTCTGTAAACAATTATGGTTGAGATAATGAAATATGAGCCTGTAAGCATGAAAATCAAATTACTAAACCACTTGTCCTAACCTTTCAGTGAAGGGTCATTAAAGTTTAACCCTCCAAGGAAAGGCAAGACTGGGGTTGCGTAATCTGACATGTCTTGTTTGGTTGATGAACTTACTCTAACATGTTGGACGAATGTGATACTTTAAGATGAGAATAGGCGAATAGGTTTTGATGTGTCAATGTACACAAGGCTCCAGCACACACACAATCCTATAGTCTTCACATTGTGGCACTACTTAATCTCAACATCGTTGTCTTCATATCCACGATCCCGTGACATAGTTTGCTACTGTATGTCTAACCAACATGCATGTAGACGAATTGAGTTGATGTATGTTAGAGCAGTGGATGTGATTACAGCTTTTATTTATATAAATAAACTATATTTTTCGCATTAAGTATTGTTTCGAGACTACCATTAAATCAGTAGTATGATAAGTATTCACCCAATTTCGTTTTTAGGTGATGAAGGAAAATTCTTCTTTTACCAGTCCTTCATCACCTTAAAACGAAATTGGGTGAATACATATCATATAAATAAATTAGCCTATGATCCTGTAATACCGAGGCTTATTTCAGCTTTGTGAATGTGTGTGCGTTGTGTGTATGCAATACTCATTTGGAAATTTTGAGCCCAATCCAGACTCCGGGCTAATCATGCCTCCTCTTCTTACTCGATGATTCTTCCTGCTCATTCCCTTAATTTCTATCTCGATTAATCTATCCAGTAGCCAGAGCTAGTTTTTGCTTACTCTTATACACTCTTTCCTTTTATTCAGAATGTTGTTTGTTTTATTTGTTTCAGTCGACTCATTATTCTTCTGCTTAGCTGTGAAGTCTCAATTTCCATAAAAACGTTAGATTTTAGGCCACTTTATCTGGTGTTTTGTAGTGACCATATATTCTGCAACCTATTTTTCAACTCATAAACCCTTGCAGGCTGTTTTGTCTTCTGATAACTTCTTTTGTATGCTTCAATTAGTCTCATCCGCATAGACACTACCACATGAGCACAAAGTTAGGCATAAGAATAAAGTATAATTTCAGCCGGTAACCTTTCTTGGTTTAGTGATTTTTTGGTGATTTTTCATAAATGATCGCTTCTGGCTTTTATGATGTCCTCACATGACGGGCGAAAGCTCATCACGGACTCGGAGTCGCAGGATAATGAGTCGAGGTCTTCTTCGCAAAATTAAACAATCACAAGTGCAAGTCAAACCACTTTCGGTACTCGGTGAGCCCAATTTATGAATCTCTTCTGCTTGCTTTTTCTATCTACTAAGGAATTCTTTGAAAACCACTTTCTCTTCATTTATGCTTATCTTTACTTTTGTGCCCAATTTTTTTTAACATGCTACAATGCCTTTTCATTTTTGCGCTTCTAATACAATCAGCTGGTCCACAGGGCGTCCGTCTCTCCAACTCGTCAACTTGGTCTCCTTATTCTAAACAAGTCCACTTGATGGAGCTATTTTCTGACCCCTCGTCAGCTGATGCAATATTCGACTCTATCAATGATTTCCATGTCTCGGCTCCAAAAAAGTTCGACAAGTTTGCGAAAGAATCAAATTCTACTTTTCCCACTGGCTCCATCCAAAATGTCATGCCTACTCTTGCCATCAGCCTTCGTCTTACCTGCCGTGTCTGTCCTCTCACATCCAAACAGCAATTACCTGAGCTTTGGACTCGAATTCTGCCGGCCTTCTTAAACCTTTTAACGGCGCTAAAAAATAGCAAGTTTACTCAATTGCCTCCTTTATCATTGACTCAATTTTAGTCTTTTCTGGCCAGATTAGCCTTATTTCATTCACGTTAGCAATTTCCGTTTTGCCTCTTTCTCACATTAAATTTTGTTTCTATTGACTTTTGCATATTCTTTCTTCCCGAAAGTTATACTCACAATGCGAGAGTGGACTAAAGTTTAGACCTCGTATAGTTATCATTGACACTGAGAGCGGGACTCGAACCCGGCTTATGTTAGGGCTGCGTACAGTCTCAACACACTAACCACTACACCACACTTTTACGAGTGTTCTTGAGTCACATAGTATAAGCGAATCTCAAGGAAGCGGCAAGGAAGCGCATAGATGTGACATGGGAAAGAAACAGGCTTCCTTGCAGCTCATTTCTGCCTTGTGGTCTAAATACATTCGTGGAAGTATGGCTAAGTGGGTAACGTGTAGACAGTGTACGCTGCACTATCTTGGTTCGAGTCCCGCTCTTGATGATAATGACACCAGTTCTGGCGAGGTCGAAACTGCAGTTCACTACATTTCAGTCGGGATGATAATGCCTTTTGGGAAGCAAGACCATGGGAAATTCAATCAAGATATGAGGCTTACTCATCCGATTGTGAGAAAATCTAACTGCCAGTCTTTCATTAGCTTAGACTAATTAGAATGAATACTACTCTTATATACAATCTACTAGTAGTCCTAAAAACCCACTTATTAAACGAGAAACTATCCACCTTTATTCCTGCACGCTGGAAGAATTTGAAAGCTAAACTCTAGTCACACTGGGGCAGCGGATAGGTCTTTTATGCACCGCCACTTTTCTAAAATTGTTTAGGGGTAGGCACGTCC